AGTTTCCTGACTTCAGTGGTAGACTTTGTCTTCAATGACCACGTACTCCTCCTTTACAGTCACATCTTCAACAACTTCACAATTTCTGGGTCCTTCTGTTCTTCTTTCCAAATGACATCAGAGGAAATGAGGGGAAAGTCTGCATCACTGTTGCCAGAGAACACACAGCAGCTTGAGCTATCTGTAACCTTGGAAAGAGTGTCTGGGACCAAATTCAGTTTCCCTTTTCTGTATTCCACAATGAAGTCAAATCTATGTAGGCACAAAGCCCACATAAAAAGACAACTAGTGGTTTTAGTGGAATTTATGACCCACTGTAAAGCAGAATGGTCAGTAATCACAGAGAATAACTTGGGTTCAAGATAGTACTGCCATTTTTCAAGTGCCCAAACCACTGCAAGGCACTCCTTTTCTGTGGCTAAGTAGTTTTTCTCTGCTCCATTTAGGTTTCAACTGGTGTAAGTTAAGACTCCTTCTGACCCAGGACCTTTTCTTTGGGTTAACACTGCTCCAAGACCTGTTTCACTTGCATCTGTATAGACAAAGAAAGGAAGTGGATCTGGATGTCCTAGGACCAGATGAGAGATCAAGCTCCTCTTAAGTTCTTCAAATGCATGCTGGCATTCAGGGGTCCAGATAAAAGGCTTGCCCTTTTTCTTCAGGTTGTTGATGGGTTCTGCAATTTTTGAATATGCAGGGACAAATATGTGGTGCCATCCTGCTAATCCAAAAATAATTGAACTTCCTTTAGACTCTTTGGTGCAGGATAGGAACAAATGGCATCAACTTTGTCCAGATCAGCTGTGACTCCTCTGGCACTAACCAAATGTCCAAGAAATTTCACTTCCTTAAGACAAAATTTGACTTCTGACCTCTTCAGAATAATGGTCATACCAGCACATTGCAGTTTATTCAGTACTTTTTGAAGATCAACCAGGTGTTGAGTCACCAAGGAGAATAGACAATGATATCATCTAGATAGACCAGGCATATGTTTCCCTGTAATTCACCCAGTACAGTCTCCATAAGCATTTGAAAAGTACCTGTGCATTTTTCAGCCCAAAGGGCATAACATTTAAGCGATATAGACTCGATGAAGTGATGAAGGCTGTCTTGGGTTTGCATTCTGGATCCATAACCACCTGCCAGTAGCCGCTATTCAAGCCAGTGGTAGAGAAGATAGCAGCTCAAGCAAGACTCTCAAGAATTTCAGAAATAGTTGGAATAGGATAGGCGTCATTTTCTGTGATGGCATTAAATTTGTCCTCGATCTTTCTTTGGCACAAGAATGATGGGAGAAGCCCAAGGTGAATGGGACGGCTTTCAACATCTCATCCAACTGTGCATTGACAATGACTTGTTTTCCTGGAAATAGGAGGTAGGATCACTGCTTAATTGGAACCATGTGAGTAGTGTATATGTGGTGTTTTAGTACATCAGTACATCAGGGGGTATGGAACTAATGAGTGAAAGAATTTTGGCTTGAAAACTGGACATTTGGTTTCCTTGAATTTCTCCATCCAGGTATCCTAGCACTCCCAGGTTGAAAAGGATAAACAACATCTGCCACAATAAGTTTGTGAGGTCTCCACTACACATCAAAACAAATCTCAACCATAGTCCTTTAGAAATCAATAAAGCAAATGAATCGGTCACCAATTATTTAGAGCGAAACAATAATTACAATAATTCAACTGAAATTTCACAACACAGATCATTTAATCTGTTCTTCGAAGCAAACGTTTGTTCTTACGTTTAACTCTACTTAATTCTCATAACTCAATTTACCTGAACAACCCAAAATAATAACAAAAAAATGAAATGAGCAAATAACAGAGTAGTTGGACAGCACCCTAAAGAGAAAGCCAAGAGTGGAAAAAGGGAGTTAAGGATGAATGGCCTGAGGCAGCAAAAACTCAGGTAAAACAGGGCAAAATAATCTGTAAAGAACACAAGGAGCACTGGAGTCTGAACCGAACTGAAAATAATCCACTCTGGGCTCCGTTTCCTTTAGTAGACGAGCGAAACACTTTTACTGTTCTCTTATTCCCTTTCACACCATAGGAGTTCCCACAAGCACGCCAACTACTTCCTTTCCCCCATTTCCTGGTATGTATTTTTTTTCTTACCAGCACAACTTTAACTCTTAAAGGGATAGCGCCAAAGGTGACGGTCATGGTCTCGTCCTGTCTGTGGGAGAGTAAATACCTAAAAAATATTTGATTGTGATCTAAGCACTTGAAAATGTTTACAATCAAAATTCATTAAATTTGTAGTTGAAAAGTAAAACCATACTACTGGTCCCATTGTGCTCAAAAGGCACTTCTACTGTTACCTTAAACCAGCAGCTCAACCGGCAGGTCGACATCCGTAACTCCTAATCTAAAGAACAAATTTGAAAAAGATCAATGAATTTCGTTTGAATGTGATCCAATTAGTAAGAATTAACAGAATGTTTTTGCACAAGTATTTCATTGTGGGCCTGTTAAAGGTTAAAAATGTCTAAAACTTTGCTAGTTAAAATGAGTAGTCCTCAGACAGTTAATGCCATGCTTTGATAAAGTTGTTAAATAGCTACATACCAGAGACACATGCGCATTAACCTAATCAGTTCAGTTTGTAATCAGATTGCATCTGTCTAAATGTCTGCAGCAGTCAGAAAAGAATCTTTAAATCCAATTAACTTTATTTGTGGCTGATAGGCTTGCCAGCATCTGATCTGTAGATCTAACCCCAGCATCTGATCTGTAGAGCATACAGGAATGTGCCAGTGTCACTTCTATCAGAAAAATAGCATTAATTTTGGTTTATGTCTGAATAGCTGCCCTAGTGCCTTTGAATGCTGTCGAAGAATGTTTTGCCAACCTTCACCTTCTCCAATACAGACTTTGATGATGGCTTATGTTTAAATATCTGTTAAACATCTTGACTAATATTTAAAGAACAAACTGGATATTAGTGTTGATAGAAAGGTGACACTTTCCACTTTAGAATATTCTAAATGTGGTTTTGAGTCCAAATCTATATGTCCTGTTCTGACATTAATGAAAAAAAAAAATAGATGCAATTTAAAGTATATGTGGTAAGCATCAGATTTCTAAATGCAACCCACCTATAAATGTAAGCATTCATGGTGAATGGAGAGAATACTTTGAATTCCTGGCCAAAGTGTATTCAAGGGCAGATAAGAACTCTCCAATATGGCCTCCTTTCTTTTTCCAAACTGTATAATGGCTTTGTCCTGTCTAAAAGCCGCAATTGTTTAATGATGCAATCTTTCGTAAGAAGGCATATTGGGCAGAGACATGATTTGAATTCTGATTCAAGGACAATTCTAGATATCCATCTCTCAACTCCTCTTTGTGTTATGTGTCTTTTAACATCATGTCATCCACTTTACCAGCTACATGATCCTTAAAGAGAATAGAGTGTGTATCATTGTGGATCTCAAATAGTGCACAGAGAGAGTTGTTTCTGATGTTGTCTTTCTGAATACACTAGTTTTGTAATCTGTAGATGAAGGATGTGCTTCAGAGACTGGTATTCTTTTTCAGTTACTTGCACTGAGTGTGATACAGTTGGTGACCTTAGTATTATAAGGTTTGATCTAAGTAAAGAACCATTTTGAGATCTGGAGCATCAAATTTTCAAAACATTCCGGCTATCAAAACTCTAAAGTACATTTATAGCTCAACAAGAATTACACTTTAAGGTTACTTCAAATTCTATTACATCTATTCTTGAAATTCTGAGATAATTAGAACGTACATTTTTGCACACTAGCCAAATACAGATAGAACACCATTATTCTGTAATATAAAAAAACCTGTTTGTTATTTTTAAGGTTCTATCTAGCAGTTTCTCATCAACTAGTAATAAATTCATCAGAGAAATGCATTTTGAACCTAATAAGAACATATTATAATCAAATATAATATGCGTTTCAGTAAGTTTTATTTTTCTGAAGGCATTTTCTAAGATTCAAAATATTTCTTTTTTTTTTCTTTAATCTGACGTTGTTCCTAAACAAGCTACACTATTTGATCAAAAGTTTGACACCTTATTATCACATCCATCTGTGGGCCTTCTTCATGTCTTTGCTGTAGCATTACAACAATTTCCCTTCACTGTCACTAAGGGCCCAGAACCTGTTCCAGCATGACAGCACTACTGTGCACAAAGCGAGGTCCATAAAGACATGGTTTGCCAAGGTTGGAGTGGAAGAACTTGAGTGGCCTGCATAGAGCCCTGAACTCAACTCCACTGAACACCTTTGAGATGAACTGGAACACTGACTGCACCCCAGGCCTCCTTGCCTAACATCAGTGCCTGACCTCACTAATGCTCTTATGGCTGAATGAGCAAATCCTCACAGCCACGCTCCAAAATCTAGTGGAAAGCCTTTCCAGAAGAGTGGAGGTTATTATAACAGCAAAAAAAGGGGAACGAAGTCTGGAATTTGATGCTCAAAAAGCACATACGAGTGTGATGGTCAGTTATCCACATAAATTTGGCCATATAGTGTACTTTAAAACTTCATTGTAATTTGTTTTTTAATTGTGCTTTTTGAAATACATATGACAACCAGTGTCGGGTGGTGGTTTTTAAAATAGGGGAAGCATAGATGTCTGTTATGGAGACATACTGTATACTGTATGCTATGTATGAGAGTTACACATACATGTTACATGCAGTATGTAACCTAAACGATAGGTTTATATCAATGCGCTTGTTCTAACACGTTTTAATCCTTTTGACTTTTGGATTAAAGTCTTAGGTGTTGGTCTTCCTTTTTGTTCAATTTTCAGTCTCTCCTCACAAGTTGTTGTTCTTCTTTTGGCTGCACCTGTTAGGGGTCGCCACAGCGGATCATTGGTCCACATATTTGATTTGGCACAGTTTTTATGCCAGATGCCCTTCATGATGTAACCAATTTTATCCAGGCTTGGGACTGGCACTGGGAGTGCACTGTTGTGTGCAACCCCAATGGCTGGAGTTGGTTCCCTGGCTGGGATTTGAACCAGGGCTGCAGTGGTGAGAGCGCCGAGGCCTAACCTCTAGTCCTCCAGGGGCCCTAGTCTCCCCTCACAAGCATGTGCATCAAAAGACTTTTCTAAAATCAGGTCAACATTAGCAGTGTCTACCATTTCATGCCAAAAGGCACCTAAGCTACTATCTGAAGAGGGAAGTGACAGCTAGCTAGCTAGGCTTACAAACAACAGAGTTCACATATTTGTCATTTATTTACATGCAAAATCAATATATGCAAAAATTAAATAAAAAGATAGACTAGTGTGCAAAATTGTTTTGGATTATGCTACTTAACTAACTTAACTAAATAACAACTAGCTCAGGTTACTGTATGTGTGGGGTTTTACATGTTCTCTCCATGTTTGCGTGGGTTTCCTCTAGTCTCTAGAGTTTCCATGATGCCATGATGGCAGATAGAACCTGTGAAGAGGAGGAGGGAGGGCCAGGCTGTGAGGATGCAAGCCAGGCACTGAGTTGTTTAATCAGTGGGAGAGAGTAAAAAAACGAGTGTCTGGAAACTCCTGGGGGAGAGAGAGACATGCACGTGTGTTTTATGTTTGTGCAACGTTTGTGGTTTCTGTGATGTTTGAGTTCTGTTTTTTATTAACGTTGGAGTTCACTCGGTTCCTGGCTCCTCCTTGCCCATTTTTGAAGTTTGTTGCATTGGTGCCGAACCCTGTGAGGGAGGATGCGCTGTCGGAGAGCCCTCGCGGATTGCGGCACTGAGGAAGTGTGGTGCTGGAGCAGTTGCTGGAGGATGGAGGAGTCTCTGGTCACCGCTCACCTCGGTCCTTTATGGAAACCACCTTTCTCCGTCCCAAGTCACAGACTTTGCTAAATTGCAAGCGGAATTTTCCAATATGTTCTCACATCTCCCTGGTCACACTGATCTCATAGAGCACTACATAGAGACAACCCCAGGGGTGGTGGTATGCAGCTGCCTTTATCGTCTGCCCAAACACAAACAAAAGTGGTTCGGGATGAATTCAAGGCTATGCTTGAAAATCGAGGAGTCCCACAATGACTAGAGCAGCCCAGTGGTTTTGGTGCTCAAAGCCGATGGGAGGGTCCGTTTTTGTGTGAACTTTAATAAAGTCAACGCAGTGTCTAACCCAGTGCCTCACATACCCAATGTGCATACCCAAAGCTTCACATTGACAAGCGGCTCGATTGGTTAGGTGCAGCTCTCTTTTATTCAACACTGGATTTAACAAAGGGATATTGGCAAGGGATTCCCTTGACTCCTATATCTTATGAAAAAATGCCCTTTTTTCAGGGCATAACCCTTCCTTTTGGGTTGTTCAGGGCCCCCGCGGCGTTCCAGACAATCATGGACAGAATCCTCCACCTGGACGCTGCTTGTCCCGCTGCCTATTTAGATGACATTATTATCTACAGTAATGATTGGCAGTGGCACATGGAGCACCTGAGGGCTGTTCTGAGATCACTGAGATGGGCGGGACTCACGGCAAACCCAAGGAAGTGTGCGATTGGGTGGGTGAAAGTATGGTATCTGGGCTTGCACTTGGTTCAGGTGCGTCCCCAAACTGATAAGTTCTTTCACAAGCCTTCACAGGGCTTTCCCTGTTCGAGTTATTGTATGGTTGGAAGCCTCGTGGCATGCTCAACATCATTTGGAAGGGACCTTCTAACAGTAAAAATGAAATTTCAGCAAGTTCTTGACTTGAGAGCAAAACTCCACACCTTAAGCCACACAACAGAAACCACAAATGCATCACAAAAATAAAACACATGTGCATCTCTCTCTTCTCCCTCTTAGCGGATGGCAGCAGGTCCTCTGTCCTCAGGCAGGCGCAGCCGCTTCTCCCCTTTTCAGGGGGATGGCAGCAACTACTCCCCTTTTCAGGCTGACTGCAGCGACTCCTCCGTCCCCCGGCAACCACTCCAGCACGAGGGCAGCCGCTCCAGGTGAGGGCTCTCCAACAGCGCATCCCTCCTCCCTCCTGGGTTTCGGCACCAATGTAACAAATTTCAAGGGTGGATAAGGAGGAGGCAGGAATCAGGTGAACTCCAACATAACATTTAATAATAAACAGAACTCAAACATAACAGAAACCACAAAAGTAGCACAAACATAAAACAGGCATGCATCTCTCTCTGTTCCCCAGGCGTTTCCAGCCACTTCTTTATTACTTTCTACCACCGATTAGACAACTAATCTTCACAGCCTGGCCCCTCCCTCCTCCTCATCACAGAACCGTATAATACTGTGGTCGCAAGTTCATCCTTTTATCCCGCTTTTTCAGGCTTTATTCTGGTCAGAGTTTTGATGGATCCAGTATCTGGATGGGACACTTGGCTGTTGCAGGGTATCATGCACACACACATTTACACAGTTACACCTATGGGCACAGTGTAGCATAGCAAATCCACCAACCTGCGTGCTTTTAGGCGGTGGAAAAAACTGGAGAACCTGGAGGAAACCCATGTGAACACACTAAGAACATATGAAACGCTACACAAACAGTAACCCACACTTAGAATCAAACCTGGAATGCTGCCTATGCCCACTGCACCACCAGGTCAAGTTCATGATTAATAATCAAGAACCACTATTAAAAACTGTGACATATTCATTTTAGCAGTTAGCAGTTACGAAACTTAAATCTGCCTGAATAACTCTTTTTTATTGTTTGAAGTCATATTTGATTCAGATGGTACCACAGGTACAGTTACAGTTACACTGTTTTAACTGTGTTAAGGTACAGGTTTCAGCAAGTAGAAACAAAGTTTGGACGAATATTAGCAAATAAGGATGGAGTCTTGTTTATGAAACATCATTTAACAGTATTTGGTGACTGCTGAGATTAAAAAAATCGTGAGTTTGGCAGTCGTGGCCCAATGGTGAGAGAGTCGGCCTTGCAACCCGAAGGTGAACCTGAAGGTCGCAGGTTTGAGTCTCGGGCCAGCAGGAATTGTAGGTGGGGGGAGTGAATGACCAGCGCTCTCTTCCACCCTCAATTCCACGACTGAGGTGAGACCCTTGAGCAAGGCACCGATCCCCCAACTGCTCCCTGGGCACCACAGCTAAAAAGGCTGCTCACTGCTCCGTGTGTGTGTTCACTACTGTGTGTGTGTTCACTACTGTGTGTGTGCACTTGGATGGGTTAAATGCAGAGCACAAATTCCGAGTATGGGTCACCATACTTGGCCACACTTCACTTCATAACTGAGAGATTTTTTTTTGTATGGAAATAGAAATGTTAATGGAAATAACAGTATTTTAAAAAGTCATATTTAGTGTCATATAAACATCTAGATGTTAAGTCATTAACTTTTTTTTAACATTAAAGCAAAAGAGTCAGTCTAGACACTAATTAGAAATTAATGATGTATGTACAGTCAATTACAGAGTTTTTGGTTAAAGACTTGAAGGGATTGAGGCAACAGTCTGTCCCTTAAATGCTTATTATGCTCACTAATCATTGTATTTATCATTTTATTTCATGCAACCTTTATTAATCTTGGTATGCTGATGAGAAGCTTAATTTAAGCAGATGAATACAGGCTAAGTGAAGCATTGCACTCCAGTTATGTGATGCTTTACTTCTTTGTAATTACAATGTGAGATGCTTTGCGTAAATTGGGGACAATTACGCTGCAAGAAAGCTCACGTTGTTCCTTCATTCTCGATAAATCAGGAGCAAATGCCTCATGAAAGAGCATAGAGGGCCCGAGAGACATGGATTTGGATCAGGTCCAAATCACAAGCACTAACAGATGTCGATGGCAAGAGCAGCCAACGTCTCAGTGGCTCAGTGAAACACAAACGCAGAAACGAGTGACAGGAACACTAAAATGGAAATCACGACTCTTGTAGGTGGAGAGGTGGAAAGTATGGGAAAACCTCATTATTTAGAGCCAAAAGGGAGAGCTGCTAAGAAAAGACACTCTCAACATGTAAAATCTTACCATGTTGAGGTCATTAAAAAAATCAATAAACTAGTAAAAGTCTAAATAATGAGAAACAAAGGGTCATTCTTAATTGATAAAATTTAAGTTTACATAATACTACTACTAAATTTCCACCTGCACTGTTAATATGTGCTTAGTCTGTCATGCGATCATTGGTAGACACAGGAAGTGGTATATAAAAGGGCATCTTTCGTGTTTTAGTGAATTGACATGAAATTAAGTAAAAATTACAAAATAAAATTAATGATGATGGCATATTTAAATAATCCAGGTATGTGGTTTGCTTGCACAAGGCTCTGCATCCATGTCTTCAGCCCAGTGCAGCTACAGAGTGCCTCTCGTACGCAAATGCAGCTATTCCTCAATTGAAAGACTTAATTGGCTAATGAAGATTTATGTCTGCACATTCTGTCTCACATTTACAATTGTCGAAACTACATTTTAGTATGATGTTCCTGTGTGCACAGTTATGGTTATTTTCTATGTTATTTTCAGTAACTGCTTTATCCTGGTCAGGGACAAAGTGGATCTGGACCCTATCCATTAACACAGCACGTGAGGCGGAAATACTCCCTGAATTGCACGCAAACATTCACACTTATGGACAAGTTAGCATAGGCATTTCACCGATGTGCATGTTTGTGGAAGCTTGGAGGCAACCAAAGAATGCAGAGGAAACCCACACCAGCACAGGGAGAACATGGGAATCTCCACACAGCCAGTAACTCAAGCTCAATATCAAACCGGGGACCCTGGAGCCTTAAGGTGTCAACATTACCTGCTGTCCCAAAGTGTTGCTGTCCCAACAACTGAATTATTATTTATACGTTTACTACTGAACTTACTCTATTTCCTATTGTTATTGATGATACACATATTGATTTTGATGATTGAACAGCTAATAATAATTAAAAATTAAAAGCATTTTTAAAAAATTAAAAGTTAAAATGTTAAGCTCAGTGTACCAGACTTAAATTTGTTGTACCAGAAGTCATGTGCAACTTTGACGGATAAGCACCGAGGTCTTGTGGTGGGAGTGTGTGGTGATTTAGGCATGCAGTTTGCACGGTGCTAAATTTGCAGCTATAAGATTTACATTCCTGTA